TCACATTGAAGCCGTTGTGCTTGGCTGAGAATCACTCTTACAGCGGGTGACAAAACTGTACAGAGAAATATCAGCAATCTCTTTCAAACAGACAGCTCGTTCATCCGATTCGGGTACCCGCCGTCCCTCCCAAAAGCAAAATGCTAGTTTTTGCATAGTTAATCAAGATGCTTCAGGAAATCGGCGCGGATGCTTCCAGATTCACGTAGTTTCTTTTGTTTCCTCCTAATTCATGCAGAGAAAAAATAAATAAACATTGAATTCGGTTACAGAAATCATCTAATGAAACTTTTTCTTCGCTTCGAAATAAGATGCTGTGCGGCGAGTTATTTTTCTTCTCGTTGTCTTATCTCGCATGATAAATTAATTTTCTTTTCCTTCTCTTGATATCGTGCACGATAAATTCTTTCCCCTCTCGTTTCATAGTTCTCCTCGAATTAAAGTCCTTCAATCCGTTCTATTACAGCTGTTGAGTGGCCGACATGTGCTCATTCTATTGATTGTATATTTTACGAGGCATTAAACATATGGTCGGGAGGCAACTACGTACGCCATCAATCCTTAGAACATTCACTCGGGTATCCATTCGATTGAATTCTTCGAGTTCTCGCTCGAACCATCAATCGTGTAGTTTGAACCAAGGATGGAGTGAATCGTGACAGGTTCTGCCACGAAAAAGCTAATTTCTTACAGGAAATAACAGGTTTTCAAAAGACAGAGGCATTAAATTGAGCTCGGAAACTGTCCAATCGATAGAGCATGTCGGGCTCTAATTCAGAAGTTCTAGGAGAACGTTAGGAAGTCCTTCTAGGCGGATCCTGAGAAGTTTTACGGAACAACCTTGGATTTCGGCTAGTTTTTACTGATTTCCTTTCCTCAGGAGCATGTGGTTTTACTCAAAAGCTGCTCATTCAATACATCTCATTTAGATCTGTTTAGAAGGTCACATGTCCCAGTTGGAATGTATTTCTCAGTGAATCCTTACGGCTTTTATTAAAAACTGGAAAATCGGATCCTGTCTTAAACATTTTTCTGGGATAAGGAGCATTGAATCAAGTTCTAAAGGTGTCCATTCGATAGATCTCGTTTAGATCCAGTCGGGAAATTATATGTTGGACATGGAAAGTACTCCTGGGCGCTTCTCTACAGGTCTTAGGAGAAATCTACGAAACGAACCTGTGATTGACCGTTTCTGAAGGGAAGAGTTTATCAAATTGAGCTCCAAAGGTGTCCATTCGATAGAGCCCGTGGAGATATACTTGGAAAATTTGATCATTTTGCTGGAAAGTGCGTCTGAGCGAATCGCGACAAGTATTATTTTGAAAAACCTGGTTTCTGGTGCGGATTGAAAGTTTTGAGGGCAATAGGAGTATGGAATGGGGCACCACAGATATGCATTCGATAGAGCTCGTCAAGATCTACCTGGAAACTCATTGATTAAGTTGGGAAGCATTCCTGGGCGAATTGCAACAAGTTTATCCAGAGTTGTCTGCATTTTACACGCTTTTTTGATTATATTTAGGGATTTTCGCGGTTTGAGGGGGGGGGGGGGCTAGAGAAGAATGAATTATGTGGTTGAATAGAGCTCGTCGAGTTCTACTTGGAAAGTTGTTAGACTATTTTGGAAAGTTTTCTGGAGCGAATCCTGACCTAAGATATCCTACGTCAAAAAAGTAGAGATATATTTAAATAATATATGTTGCAATCAAAACTAAAACTGGCCAAATTCAAGATTTGGCCGAGCAGAATGGGAAGTGTCTGGGTGTTCATTTTAATTTATTAGTACATAGTTTTATACGATTCTAGTTTAGAATGACGTATAGTTGAACAAAAAAAATTCTACTTTTGTTATATCAACATTGTTTTGACGATTATCTTCCTTTATAGTCGTTTGTCGATCAACAAATATGAAGTTTAAACGCTTCAGTTATTGTAATACCTCTCAATTCATCTATGACTACTTGTTTTCATTCTTCTGTGCAGTCTGATTTTTTATAAACTAAATGTTTGATTGCTAAGGTGTTTTCTATTTTATTATATTGAGAAACTAATTTATTTCGATGTTTCATATAAACAATATTTTGTGAACTAAAAAATACAGTTCTGTGAAGAATTATAGATTCACCTGTATGAGTCAAATTATTTGCTCTTTCTCTCCTATGTTAGGCTTCAAAAAGAAGCCAAGTGTGTATTACTATATGCATTTGAGTATGCTCTATCCAACTATGAAATCGTATTTGTCAATATTACTACTATGTTTAAGAAAAAAAAATGTTTGTTGAAAATAGTCAATTTTTGTCTGTGAAAAATTATAGAATCAATATTGTTATTTCGCTGTTCTTGTATCAAGAGGATTTGAATATTGATTGAAAGTCATATATACAGATAGAGGAACCCCTGCTAAGCATTTCCATTACAGAAAGTTTGAAAAATCGTTTAAATTTGAATTTGAAACAAAATGTTACTAGTCAAGCCAAAATAGCTGAAAAAAGTCACATAACTTCAGTATTTTATTAAGGATATTTGACATATGAGTGAAATTAATATTTCAACAATGGATTTGGATAGAAGACACTTTTTGCAATAAAATGAGGGCTTTAGGAACTTGATACCTCATTTCTTCTTAGAAACACATACGATGTCAAAACATGCCACATGTGTGTGCAAAAAAAGTACAGAAAAAGACTTAAAGTCGTCATACATTATCGTTGTCAGTTTTAACAACGTATGTATTTCTAAGAAATAAGATATCAGGTTCCTAAAGCCCTCATTTTATTGCAAAAAGTGTCTTCTATTCAAATCCATTGTTGAAATATTAATTTCACTCATATGTCAAATATAAATATCCTTAATAAAATACTGAAGTTAGGTGACTTTTTTCAGCTATTTTGGCTTGACTAGTAACATTTTGTTTCAAATTCAAATTTAAACGATTTTTCAAACTTTTTTGTAATGGAAATGCTTAACAGGAGTTTCTCTATCTGTATATGTGACTTTCAATCAATATTCAAATCCTCTTGATACAAGAACAGCGAAATAACAATATTGATTCTATAATTTTTCACAGACAAAAATTGACTATTTTCAACAAACATTTTTTTTCTTAAACATAGTAGTAATATTGACAAATCCGATTTCATAGTTTGATGGAGCATACTCAAATGCATATAGTAATACACACTTGGCTTCTTTTTGAAGCCCAGTATAGGAGAAAAAGAGCAAATAATTTGACTCATACAGGTGAATCTACAATTTTTTACAGAATTGTAGATTGAAAATGCAAAGAAGTTCTTTTCAGTTCGGATTCTAATTGTCTTTGGTATGATCACTTACTTCTAGTCTAATTCTAATTATGTTCGGGCAAAAATAGAATTCTAATTTTGTCCAGACAAATTCAGAATTTTGGTCACAATTTACATATACACGATAAAAGTACATCGGTATCGTGCAGTAACCGTTCGAGTCCCTGTTTTTTTTTTCTTTGAGAAAATCCAGATTTTTATAAGAAATCTCTAGATATAGTGTTTATTTATTTTTTGAAAGACATTGTATTTCTGTGTCAAGGAAACATTAGCCGTTCATTTTCGTATGATAGTCTTCAAGATAATCAACAATACATAGAGGTACATTGCTGTCAAGACACATATCTTGTATCAGGTCGAAAACTATGAGATGTGCAAACAACGAATTTTCTTTGAGGTTGTTTTGATTGCGATTTTGGTGAAGCGAGCGATGGGAAATGTAGAGCAGTTAGACGAAGAGGAGATTCTCTATCAATGGTCTTCCAATAGTACTCAGTCTGTGTAACTTTTATTTTGCAACTTGTACTATCCATATCTGGAACAACGAAAGAGAATGTATGATGATTATAGGGACTATAGATTCCTAGAATGATTTCATGACCCTAGTCCGTGATCTAACAGATAAAATGCATTTCCAGATCATCAAAGAATAAACAAGTAACATGTTTGTTCAATAACAATATCCATACGTATTTATTATTTCGGATATTCTAAACCAAATATTGGAACGTATATATACGTCGCCGGAACTCAAAGGGTTCATCTAAGACCTTTCGTCCAGAATTATAGGCATTTTACTAAATTTTTAGCCTTTAGTATGGCATGTACTAATAAAACGAATGACGGTATTTAGATCTGCAATTCCATCCACAGGCAAATCTATTTCTGAGTAGAATGTTTCCTTCTTGAGATATTAAAGTCTCAAAAAATGTATGTAAGTCTCATCGCCACAACAAACAAATAAGCTTTTCGGTAAACTTTTATTCGACAATCTTTATTTCGACGATGTGAATTTCGGTAAAGAGCATACACATATAAAAAACAGAAAAGTTTTAAAATATCTCATTCGAGTCTATCTTATGCATAGAGCCAAAACTCAACAGCAATTGATCAGTGGAAAACATTGCTTCGCCAAAAAAATTTTCATCAACCAAAAGAGGTGAACTTTATTTCAATTTCAAGAAAAATGACTGATGCATCAGATTAAAATTCCAGATTTTGAATATGACTCTTTTTTCTAGTGTATTGTGCAAAACAAACAATGTTTGACTTCATTTTTGTTCAGTTTTAATAAAGTAAGGTTTTGCGTCAAAAAAAACCGACTTGTTTGAAACAAACTTTAGTGTACATCATGAGAAAGTAAAATTGGGCATATTGAGGTCTCGTAGTATTATTTATCGAGATTTTTTGCTTCACATTTTATAGCAAAAGTTGTGATACATTCTGGTACGACAATATTGAGAAAATACTTTTAAAGGGATATTTACTCTCGCGCACTTGTTATTTTTTTTTTCTATTCATATTTCTAATAAAAGATCAATTTATTATAAGACAATAGTTCAAAGCTATGAAAATGGAAAAAGAAAATTGAAATATTTTATTAGTAACCCCGAGATCATTGCTTCTAATATTAGTACATGAACTATTTGATTCGAATGGAATGTGTTTATATATTTTGTTAGAAATATAACTGCTTATTTAACGACGTCCAGGTAATGGTTGTGTTAGCATATGAACAAGATTATCATAAAAAACACGACCATCAGATTCAACATTTAATTCACGTAATATAAGATCGACTAAATAGAGTAAAAGAAAACAATTATTAATTGGTTTTTTTGTTTTCGCTTACCATCTCTATCGGTCAATTTTTCGCCGGTATTAGTTAAAATATATCTTAATTGTTTAGCATCAATATAACCAAGTCGTTGTGTATCATAATGTTGGAATGCTGCTAAAATTTCATTTGGTGCATCTTCAGTTGATCGATGTTCCAAAACAATTTTAAGAAAATCATCAAATTCAACAACACCAGCATCTATTAAATAGTAGTTATCATAATTCATAAAATTGTACAATTATTCATTATTATGATATACCTTTTTTATATTTAGTAAAGTAACGTTTAAGTTCAGCAATTGTCGGTGCCATACTCAATGATCGCATAATAAAGCATAATTTATCGGGCGTATCGACATAACCTTGTGGAGCGAATAATTGAAAACATTGACGGAAATCTATTGATAAATAAATAATCATAATTATGATAATCATTAATAACTTACTATCAATTTCTTCTTCTTTAAAATTTTTCGACTAAAATAATAAACTCCAAAACAAACCTGAATAATAAGAATAATCATAATGATTTACATACCATTGTTTGATAAAGAAAAGTAAAAAAAAAAGAATTAATCTACAAATAAAAATTTAATAATCAAACAAAAAATAAATATAGAATGAAAACACTGATGATAATTTATTAATAACAATAAACCAAAAAATAAAATAAAAATCCTAATAATGATAAATATTATTGGCCCAATTTTGCAAGCTAGAATTCGAAAAAAAAAATTTTTTTAAAATTATAATCAGAATAAATTATTTAATTACTTGTTCAAGAAATTGAGAAGCATTCACAAGTTCTGTACATCCATAGATAATTCGTTTTGTTGCTGTTGTTGTTGATCGTGTCTTAGCATAATCTTGTAGATTTTGATATTCAATATAATTACCACCACCAATCATAAATACAATAGCATCATTAAATCCTTGTCGATTACGAACAACATTTGTACTAAACATCAAAGTAAAGAATTTTTTTTATCATAATAATTTTTATATTTACTTGTCTGTTGATCGTAGTTTTGGATCAAAATAACGATAATCATCTGTTTCAGGTGATGAACGACATTCCATTAGATTATCAACTATTTTTGTTACTGGTAATTTCTAAAATAATATAATTAATAAAAATATCAATCAAAAGTATATATTTACATATTGTTTTACAACAAGATTTTTAACACCTTCCATAGCAAATTTCGAAGCTTTATTCACCAAATTTGAAAACATTCTATAAGAAAAAAAAAACCATTTGAAAGATCAATTATGTAAAAAAAGTGTTATCGACTAATTTGAAAATTCTATTGCCTTCTCTTTAAGATTTCATGAAGAAAAAAAAAGATAGAGTCTAATAAAGGTTCAAACAGGCTGACTTTCCATTAGATTGGCCTTCCTGTTATGATCTGTGTCTTTTATTTATATACTAATATAACGATCATAATCAAATGGCAGCAGAAGATTGTTTTTATAAGAAGACAATACAGTCATGCATACTGAACCGACATGACTTTTCGAAACACTTTATAGATTATGAGAGAAGTAATTTTATATTGAAATTCCGTCGTTCAATTTTTCTGTATATATCTTGTGCTAGGTATAAAAATTAATAAAATGATCATAATCTTCGACGAAAGCCTCATCAACTCAAAATCGCTTAGGATAATGTCCCCAACACACGGACAAAATATCATTAAAAACAACATGGATCAGTTAGGCACCTTTTCTCATCACTCTATGCTTAATAAATTAAATATTTTCGATTAGTTGAAAAGATCATTATGTTAACCAAAAAGAAAAGTGAACAATTAATTAATAAACAAAATTTATTAAGCCAATAGTAACACCAAAATCTTCCGTTGTATGGAATAGTTTTAGTTGTATCTATGTAAACGAGATTAAGCAAATAGGAAGCTGCGGGTTCATGGTTTTGTGAATTCGAATCTGGAAGGATCTAGTTGAACTTCTGTAGTCCAATGTTTATTTTATATATAAAAAAGTAAAAATATTCTTCTTTTTCTCACCCCATTGTTGTTGTTCCACCTTCTCTTGTTTGTGAAACAATATTCATATTACTAATTGATTTCCAACGTTTAATATATGTTATTGCATCTAAACATGTACAATTTGATCCTCGTAGAATTGTCATATATTGATCAAGTTCAGTCTAAATGAAAATAATATTGAATATTTGAAAGAAATTTTTAATTTTATATACTTGTGTCATTGTTGGTGTACAAATGTAATGAATTAGAAATAGACGAAGTTTATCTTCTGGTGTACCAGCTAAAATAAATTTATTGTATTATTCTATTTTGTTAGTTATTTTTATTCTACCTGCTGGATCAGAAAGAACTTCCATAAGAATTTTTTCCTATTAATATTAATAATAAAATAAGACAATAAAAAAAAAAGAAGTAAAGAATATTTTTATTTACTTGAACTTGTTTAGTCATTAATTTTTCTTCTGTTTCAAAGAAAATATCGAGTTTTCGTTTCTATTGTACGAAAAAAAAAACAAAACTAAATATCTAAATAAAAACAAAAATAAATTAAATTACTTTAATTTGATCAAGAAGAGCAGTTGCTATATTTGTATGTGCATCAAGTAATCGTTTTTTCTCCAATAATTCTGGTAAAGAACTAACTGCACTTGTTAATTTACTTGTTGTATTATTCAATAGACCAATAGCTAAATCTTGAGTATCACCTTCAATACCCTACAAAAAGAAATATTTCTATTTTAATATATAAATAAAATTCTGAATAATAAACAAACCATTGCAGATTTAAGTCGTTTAACTTCATCTTCTGATTGTCGATATCGTTCAAGTTCTTCTTGAATTGATTCGGCAACAATTGGAAAAGGACTAAAAAATAAATCAAATATTATAAATTGAAGATTTTTATTAAAAGATAATTTCACTAACTTTCCTTTTTGTTGTTTCCAAAATTTATCTGTTGGTATCAGATCATATGTACGTCTTTTCGATGGATGTCGTCCATCATTCAATACAATTGATTCATCGACTTCTTCAATTTCAACTCGATTTAATTTAAAATCCTATATTTTTCAATTTTTTTTTTCTTTATCTTGAAATTTATCTGTTAAATTTACTTACCAAAACATCATGAGCTAATGCTTGATAAGTCCATGTATGATGAAGAAGAGATGCTAAATCAGTACCTCGATCCAATATGACAAGAAGTGGTCGTTGAAAACTAAGAAAATAAAAAAAGTCAATTATACATTATCAACAGCATATAAAGAAGTTATTAAAAAATTTAGTTCATTAGTATCGATTTAAAATAGAACTGATGATTAAAGTCGAGGACTTATCCCTTGAAGGAACAATGGAGTATCCACTCATGCGGTGACTACTGTTAATAAAGCACCAATATACCGATCGGTATAATGTACAATATACTGGCGGTGCCACAGGAGAAGGAAGAAAAGGATGTGCTGAGTTCCTTCGGAAAATTTTTAAAGTTGTTGCTAAAAGTACTCCCACAGAAAGTGCGATGTGAGATGGCAATGAATTTAGTTAAAAAATTCGTTCTATTCCTTGCTATAATTTTCTTTATTTATGTTAAGTATTTTAACTAACCTTAAAGATCCTATAGTCACTGAATCAGATGAAAATAGACTATTTCGATGATCACGTAAATGTTCTCGTAATTTCTCATCAAGTTTCTAAATTAAACAAAAGAAATAAATATTTATTTAATTTAAATATAATAACAAACTAGTCCTATAATTCCAGCTGCTTCACCAATTGGACATCGGATAATAGGTATTGAACCTAAGTTAAAATAGAATCAAATATTTAAATTTTAATAAAAGAAGTTTATTTTATACCGAGTGTAACACAAACAGAAAAAAGACAATCAACATGCTTTTTAATGATTTCATCCATATCAACATCACGCATTTGAGGACGATTAAGAGCTGAATATTAAAACTTAAATATTTCATTGAATAAATCATTATGTATTTACCATAATAAGAAATACTATCTTTGCCTACTTGTCGTAAACAAAATAGATCATCTTCAAGTGTAATAAAATCAAGATATTGATCATAGATCTATATGAAAAATAAATTATTCAATTCTAGATTCAAAAAAAAAAATTAATTTTTTCTTTTTATTACTTTAGTAATATTTTGTTGAGAATTTGATTCAAGTACAACTGTAGCTAAATCCTCAAGAAGATCACGTGGAATTGGTGCAATAAAATTCAAATAATACGATTCATATAAACCTTCGGCTACATCCTTTTATATTCTCAATATATAGATCATTAAAATCTTATTCATGAATATTTACTTTTCCTATTCGAGATATATTTTCTTTTGTTGGCATAATAAAATATACAGCAGCAATTTCATCGACTGGATCACGATCTGATTTTAATGATCTAGAGCAAAAACAAAAAATATCCTCATTTTTGTATTATCTCATTTTTAAAGTACTTACATATGTAATGTTACACCAAGACCACGAAGTTCTTTTACAGTAAGTAATGGAGATATAATATCTTGACCCAATTCATCATAAATAAGGACTTTCCAAGCTGTATCTACTGTAGATAAACTTGATATAGATGATGGAGGAGTATTTAGATTAAGGATTTGTTTGAGTGCAACTATAAATATAAATTATTTATTTATCTTCATTGAAAATATACCATGTCAAGACTAACCAATATGACGATCGCGTAAAGATAATGGTCCGATCGATGAGGAAGTCATTGTTGAGCGAAATCAAACAAACGAAAATAAGGTCGGTAAGCAATTAGTGAATGAGACAGATTATGATTATGCTGGTAAATGAAGAGAGAGAGAGAGCCTAACTGAATGAGTTTATTTATTTGATATTGATTCTTATCCAATAAAATTACAGCACAGTACTAGAGGGCGCTGTAAGACATCGATATACTGTTATAAAAATCAGATATTATTACTCTAAGAATTACTTTCATATAAAATTATCATTATGTGTACTTGATACAAAGTGAAATAGAAAGAACGGAGAGATGAAGCCATAAAAAGGACAAACCGACTGACTGGTATTTTTTCTTATTAAACCCATTGAATCATGTATCAATGAAAAAATCACGCTGAGACTAATATATTAGTACTATTGTATGATATTTCGATAGAATTCTAAAAGCAAAAGCTATTAACAAAGAATCTCATTTATAATTATTAATATAATAATCGATCCGATCACGGTAGATTCAACATAATCTTCGTTTTAAAATAAGTAGACAAGACAACATAGTACTGACCTCAGGAATTTAATAGCTCTTCGATGAATCTTCAATGTCATCTATAAATTACTAATTAGTTGTTTAATTCAACAATATGCATATCCGATGCACTAGTCGGCGCCATAAGCATATTTGTTTCATGTATCATCGAATCGTATCTTTTAAGAAATATTTTAATTTGAAAATTGAAGTCATCAGAATTACTGGTATTACTCATTTGATAGCACGTTTTAAAATTTACAATTCGATTGCATTTTCAATAAC